TGGAGTTGCAGCTGTTGAACTGAAGACTGAAAGTACTGCCCACTGAAAGAAGTTCAAGTGAAGTTCCCAGAGAGAGGGAGAGAGAGAGAGAGAGAATGAGAGAGAGAGAGAGAATGAGAGAGAGAGAGAGAAACATTACCTAAATCCCCTTCCGTGAACATCCTTGGCGGGAATCAATTGGCCGCAACTCACATCTCATGTTTTAGCGGGGTTCTTTAAAATTTTGTCCGTCGTGGTTTTCCATAAAAATCGTTGGTGGGAATCTGTTGATCGCGGCTGACGTTTCAACGGAAGTTCTTGTACCGTGTTTTTCGAAAATTTTGGTCACTTGTGGCCCAACAAATCCACTTCCGTGAAAATCCTTGGCGGGAGTCAATTGTTTTCGCTTCCGTGAAAATCCCTGGCGGTTCTTTAAAATTTTTGTCGGTCGTGGTCCAAGAAAGCATTGGCGGGAATCTGTTGATCGTGATTGACGTTTCACGAAAGTTTTTGTACCGTGTTCTCCGGAAATTTTGGTCACTTGTGGCCCAACAAATCCACTTCCGTGAAAATCCTTGGCGGGAGTCAATTGTTTTCGCTTCCATGAAAATCCCTGGCGGTTCTTTAGACTTTTTGTCGGTCGTGGTCCAAGAAATCATTGGCGGGAATCAGGGGGTCGCAGCTGATTATGGTCCATTCTCCGTCATGGTCCAAAAAAACTTCTTCCTGAAAAGCATTGGCGGGAATGTGTTGATCGCGGCTGACGTTTTACGGAAGTTCTTGTACCGTGCTCTCCGAAAATTTTGGTCACTTGTGGCCCAACAAATCCACTTCCGTGAAAATCCTTGGTGGAAGTCAATTGTTTTCGCTTCCGTGAAAATCCCTGGCGGTTCTTTAAATTTTTTGTCGGTCGTGGTCCAACAAATCATAGGCGGGAATCAGGGGGTTGCAGCTAATTACGGTCCATTATACGTCATAGTCCAAAAAAACGTTTTCCTGAAAAGCATTGGCGGGAATCTGTTGATCGCGGCTGACGTTTCACGGAAGTTCTTATACTGTGTTCTCTGAAAATTTTGGTCACTTGTGGCCCAACAAATCCACTTCCGTGAAAATCCTTGGCGGGAGTCAATTGCTTTCGCTTCCGTGAAAGTCCCTGGCGGTTCTTCTAAATTTTTGTCGGTCGTGGTCCAAAAAATCATTGGCAAAAATTAGGGAGTCGCACGTGATTACGGTCCATTGCGTTTCTTTTAGTTCCGTGGATAGTGAATGTTCTCCTCTAACGTTGAAAGGTGCTAGTCCGGTGACGTCATTGCTTCCACTTTCTAGCGTCGTGTCTTACTTCAGTGATCGCGTTGTATTATTTTTTGGTGACGTCACTCGTGGTCGTCTCTCACTTCGAAGATAGATGTTGTAGGATAGAGTTCCTCCAAGATACATGTATTCTTTGAAAGAAAGGGATCGCCATCGTCCGAGAACGGTCACATGGTTTCCTCAAAATCCATCTTAATCCAAGACTAAGAAGACGACCATTGTCAGGTTGCTACCGCCAAATCTTTCTCAACTCGACAGTAGTTCAGTAGCGAAAGATGATGGAGGTACAAAAGCTTATGCGTCTTCCCGAGTGACGAAGATAGTTCGCCATTTACAATCGTACTTCCCCATCTTTGGCCGCCGAAGAGAAAGGACGATTGAGAATACAAGCCCTCAGAAGCGGAGGTGCACGAACGCACTTCAAGAACGGTTAGACCGGAATGGCATTGACGAGAAAGCGAGCGAGAATCGAACTCTTCAAGATGCATGTCAGAATGACGACAGAGAAGAGACGGAGGACATCGTAAGAACGGATATAGCTTCAGAAGAAGCTGAAGACATCGAAGATGCGGAGGAGGATGTAAGAAGAGATACAACTTCGGAAGAAGCTGCATTTATGAATACTGATGCAGATGACCGAACTTCTCAAGGCGATGCATGCCAGAATGTGGACGAAGAAGATATGGACGAGGTTGTAAGAAGGGACGATGGATCACGGAGAAGAAAACGCAGAGGACGTGATATATGCCAACGCTTGTGATCATAATGAAGATACGATGGAGAACGACAATGCGAAGGGCAGGGAATAAGCCACCACTAACGACAAAGTTTTTCAAGAATGTGTTTTTGGCATGTTCGACAAGAGACCATCAGGAGAAGGTATTAGAGAAGCGAAGCAAACCTTATTACAAGAGGTGAGAAGAGGTGTTTTCAGTAAATCAAAGAAGAGCGCAAAACCTCCTTACAACTTAGGGAAACGAGGTAGGAACTTGCGTGTGTATAACAAGAAGGCAAACTACCACGGGAACATGAAGAGAGTGGAAGAAGTTCTCAAGAAGTCCTGCTGCAAGGCGGGATGTTATAGAAAGTTTCACGCAGAAGATGTCTATTACATGCGCGAAACATTTTGGGCGATGAAATAACCGGAGCAAGTCAACTTCCTTCTCAGTGAGATGAGAGCTGCGTCATATTTCTCAGATGAAGGAGAGTTAGAGATGCTAAGAGTAACATTCAATGGCATCAAGGTTTGCACAAGAGCATGGGGAAAGCTTTACGGATGCTCGACTACACGTGTCGCAAGCGTACGCGCAGCTTTCAAGGATGGAGTGCACACGTACGAACATCGTAACAAGGGAACGGGTGGTTTGTCTGTATCATCGTTGCATATTCTTTCTTGGTTGCACAAGTATTTTCAGTACAACACTGAAAGTATGCCGAACAGCGACCAATTTCATCTTTCGGAGACTCTTCTACGCAAAGATGTTTATGAATTTTTTCAGAAGGAGTGCGCATCACATTACAGCTCCTCCATTTTCCCTTTGAGTTCACGGCTTATGACAATTTGGAGGGACCACTGCCCCAAAGTTCTCATTCCTACACTAAAGAGGTTCTCAGTTTGCTGCCAATGTTTGCAATTCAAGACATGACGCTCACAGGCAACAAACCGCGTTGAACGAGGTATGTCTCTCTCTCTCTTTTTTTTTTTCTCTCTCTCTCTCAATCTATATGTTCGTGTGTGTGTTTGTGCGTGCGATTCTTTCCTGCATCGTTCTTTCAAAGATCAATCCATCATGTTTGGTCTCTTTGCTAATCGAACACAAAAGGTTCAAGAATTAGAAGATTGTCTGAATTCTTACTTGAGATAAAGGGATACATGGCTACATATCAAGCTGTCCGTGAATTTCTCCTTCTTTGTCTACATAACAAGCTACCCATGCATTTCTCCTTCTCTGTCTGTCTGTCTCTCTCTCTCTCTCACTTCTTTGTTCTTTCATACAAGTTTTTGCAAATAGAAATGTGCCTAAATTCTTGCGTTAAAGAAAGAGATATAGGGTTATATTAATGTTGTCCGTGAATTTTGCCTTCCCTGTCTGTCTGTCTCTCTCTCTCTCTCACTTCTTTGTTCTTTCATACAAGTTTTTGCAAATAGAAATGTGCCTAAATTCTTGCGTTAAAGAAAGAGATATAGGGTTATATTAATGTTGTCCGTGAATTTTGCCTTCCCTGTCTGTCTGTCTCTCTCTTTGACTCTCTCTGTTTTCTCCTCAAAGCTGATTCCATCGTGTTTGGTCTTTTCAGCAGAAAGAGCAGAGAGAGTCCTTGATATTTAGGGTTGTTTCGAGTTTGAGTCCCTTCAATCGATTGTTCTGGCTGTTGAAGATAGAGTCCTCTTTGTGAGTTGCGCACTGACTATTTGATGCAAAGCCCTACAAGTGGATGGCGCACCTAAAAGGCACTCTAAGTGAATTATTCAAGAAATAATCATTTATTGGTAGACATTCTGAGAGCAATTAACTTATAGGGCTATATCCTAAATAATCTGTCAGTTGTACGACTACGGATGAGTGTAATCTTTACACGAATTGTTGCAGAAAAATAGTCGACATTAAAAAAACAGTCAATAAAAAATAGTCATTTATTGCTAGCCATTGTGGGAGCAACTAACTTATAGGGCTATATCCTAAACAGTTTGTCGGTTGCACGATTACGAATGACTGTAGTATTTACAGAAATTGTTTCAGAAAAATAATCGATATTAAAAGAAAAATGGACATTTATTTAAAATGGCTGATTGTTTCGGTTTGTGGTCTTCTAAGTGACAATGTTTAATCGTTTGTACAATTGTCTCTGTGATGGCAGAAACATTCGAGAGGGCATTAGACAAGCATCGGCTCATGCAATCAGAGGATAGACAAAAACTCARCAAGCATCGACACAAGGCTTCAAGCAAGCCAARMGAATGCGTAGCCATGATCATCGATGGTATGAATCAGAGAAGACGATACTACCGCACTTCAATAGGCCCCCGAAGGACGCGAAACTCAAAGAAGCGAACTCCGTGAAAGTTCATGTTGTTGGGGCAAAGATAGTAGGCTCTGTTCCCAGCGCTTTTGCAACGTTGTTCTTTGACAACTTTAAATCATGTTGTTGGGGCAACTCCCTAGACCGTTCCCGGGAGTCCTTTATATGACACTGGACAACACTTCGAAAGAGAACAAGAACAAGTTTGTGTTAGCATATCTTGTCTTTTTAGTGAAGATGAATGTCTTTAGTAAAGTAAAGTTGAACTTCCTTCGTAGGTCACACGCACGAGGACATAGATCAAATGTTCAGTTGTTTCTCGAGGAAGTTGGCTCTACTGGATGCGTACGAACTACCTGAGTTGCAACACATCATCAGAGAGTCATACAAGGCAGAACAAGAGCATGGTGTTACTGTTGACAAAATGACGGAAACAATAGACTGGAAATTGTTCGTCGAGGAGCATCTGTAAAAGGTGAATGATATCAGTTTTAATCAGCATTTCCACGTTAAACGCAATGATGCGGGAGACGTCAGAATTTGGAGCAAGCAATATCACAACTCACAGTGGCCTCCCAATAATAGAGAAGGTCTTGACATCTTCAAATCCGAGCCAAGAGGACAAATTCGCATTTCACCCGAACATCCTATTGGATCTTTGGAAACTAGGTTTAGGCTGACTTGTGGAGATGTCGACGACAGACGGGAGAGTTTCAAGAGCAAGGTCGACGATTGTGCTGTTTCACTGGCCGTCCTCCAAGCGAACATAAATGCATTGGCCCCCTACATCCCACACAACATTCAATGGTGGAAAGACTTCATTCAAAATGCAGGAGGCACTTGACATGGAAGACACTAATCTGAAAGAGTCATTCCAGTGGCCAACAATAATAGAGGTTGAGGTAATGGGAGGAGATTCTAGTCCTCAAACTCCTGAAGACGTTGGTCAGTGCTTGGACGATGTCTTCCCTCCTGAAAGACCCGTTTACGTTGGCGCGAGAAAGAGCAGACAGTACCGAGAAGAAAGAGATGAGAAGTACGAAGACCTCGTAGTCAACAAGTTTATCGCACTGCGAGCCTTGCCCGGGAAGCAAGAAAAAGGCAAACCTTACCACATCGGAAAGGTTGTCGAGTTGCTGCCTATAAAACGCTTTAAAGTGGTCTGGTTTGCTCAACGGGAGAAAGGAGATGGTTACTACCCTTGCTATAGGAGGAATGCTCAAGGAAGGCCAACGAGGGACCATTTTGAGGACATCTTCGATTGGAGCTGCGGTGTTCTATGTTACAACTGTGATCTGAAGACGAACAAGACCCTGTTAGCTGTGACGAAGAAGAAAATTTCTGAAATGTTAGAATCAATGGATGTAGATGATGATGAAGGCGAAGACATCTTGGCATTACCTTCGAACGAGTGTCAGGCCATTAGCGAGAAGAACGGCGAGAACGACTGTTTGACTGATGTGATTACTTTCGTAAATCATTAGGAATAACTTTCGTCGACTTTACTGTAGAGATATGAAATTTTATCGTAGGACTTGTTATAGCTTAGCATTGTCTTATTTCGATAACTGTCTCAAATGGTTATTATTTTTCTTGACAAGAGTYCATCAACWACTTTGAACTGCTTCCCTTGGAGYTTCTTTTACCTTWAATTTTTTTTACCAAGACTGRAAAAAAGTTTCTTGATTTTTCTTTGTTAGAGGACTTCAAACCCAAATAATATTTCAGATCGAAGTGTTGGAAAAACAGTTATCAYAACATTTTCGAACAGGTTTTTGCATTTGGATAGGTTTAAACATATGYTGAAATTGTAAAACAGGTTATTAGGTTTTCTCTGATGTAGACCATGTAGCGAAATACTGTTTTATATTGAATTGTCGCAAACACAGTTATTTCAACACCTACTGAAATCACTAAGACTGGTAAACATGTTTGTAAGTTTTTTCTAATTTAAAACTAAGTACCCAAAGACTATTTAACATTGAAATGTTAGCGACACAGATGTTACGTTTTCTGTAATATATCCTAATAATATTGAACACTGAAATGTGAGAAAACCAATTCGCAGAGCATTTGTTGATATTAATAAGACTGAAAAAAATGTTTTTTTGTTTTCGGTGATATAGGACTATATGTCCAAGAACACTTTACATTGAAATGTTGGAAAATAGTCAGCATAGCATTTACTGAGATGTTGAAAAATTCCAAAATACAATCTTTAGTTTTCTGTGATATAGGAYTATATAYGCAAACAATAGTTAACATTCAAATATGTAAAAAATAATCCGCACAACATTTGCTGAGATGAATAAAACTGCGAAATATACTCTTATGTTTTCTGTGATATAGGACTATATGCCCAAACAATATTTCACATTGAAATGGGGGAAAAACGATAAGCATAAYATTTGCTTAAATTAATAAGCCTGGAAACAATATAATACGTTTYYTGTGATATAGCACTATATACCCAAAAAATATTTAAGCTTAAAATGTTTGAAAATTTGTATCACAACACTTGCTAATATCATTTAGACTCGAAATATATATTATTAATTTRTTTCGGATATARGACTTTMAACCTCGATAATATTTCACATTGAAATGTTGGTAAAACAGTTATCACAACAGTTGTTTTAATCGCTAAGACTGAAAAATATATTAGTACCTTTTCTCTGATATAGGGCTATATCCTAAATATTATTTAACATTGGAAACCRTTTTCACTTGGAGCTACTTTTTCMTTTAAATAGTTTTTGAATACGTTTTTATTATTGTCTCAAATGGATATTCGTTTCTTCGCAATATTCCACTAGGAGCTTCAAAATATTTTCTAAACGAGCCGCAGACTCGTCTTTTTACTCATATCTGTCTTTCCGTGTAAGAGGAGTGGTTGTTTTGTCTACAACATTCGGGTTTTAAAACTCGGTCGACGAACTCGAAAGAACTTTCTCTATTTTTTTGGTGTTATTTTTTTTTTTTTTTGCATCTGTCACCTAGACACCTCCTTTTTATCAGTACTTTTCTGCTTTTTTTGCGACTGACACCGAGACAGCTCCTTTGGCACGAGAAACTCTCAATTCTTCTTTGCATTCAACACACATGTTTTCATGAGTCGCAGAGAGGTGACTATTTATGTACATTTTGGGATGTTATAATTGAGAGTCACCGTCGTTCCTCAAAAAATGGTTACTTTAGCTAATATTTGTCYTTTGCCTTGTTTAGAATAACATTTAGACCCGTTTCTACATGAAKTCTGTGCAACATGACCCTTAAATTGTACATTTTGAATGTCAAAATTCGTCATTTCATTTTTGTTTACTCTGTCTATACACATTGTTGGGTTTTCTCAAGTTCT